GCACTAGGGGGTATGCTGCCATAGAAACTTTAACTCAATCACAAATTAACTCACAAAAAGTGCAGCCACGTGACTTGATAGAAGAAAAACGTTCAGAACGAGCGCGTCTAGCCTCAAAACGCGCTAGGATCCGCATATGTGGAGGAAGTGCAGCGCGCGCTCTTCATTCTCAAGGGCCGATGACCAATGATGCTCGCAACCCTTCCACGCTTTTGCTAGCTTAGCAAGTGACCTAGACAAGCGCAGCCACGTGACCTGGTAGAAGAAAAACGCTCACTACGAGCGCTTCCAGCCTCGGAACGCGCTAGGATCTGCACATGTGGAGGAAGTGCAGCGAGCGCTCTTCATTCTCAAGGGCCGATGACCAATGATGCTCGCAACCCTTCCACGCCCTTGCTGGCTTAGCAAGAGGCCTAGACAAGCGCAGCCACTTTATCTGGTAGAAGAAAAACGCTCACTGCGAGCACTTCTAGCCTCAAAATGCGCTACGATCCGCACATGTGCAGGAAGTGCAGCGCGCGCTCTTCATTCTCAAGGGCCGATGACCAATGATGCTCGCAACCCTTCCACGCCCTTGCTGGCTTGGCAAGAGGCTTAGACAAGCGCAGCCACGTAACCTGGTAGAAGAAAAACGCTCAGAACGAGCGCTTCTAGCCTCAAAACGCGCTAGGATCCACACATGTGCAGGAAGTGCAGCGAGCGCTCTTCATTCTCAAGGGTCGATGACCAATGATGCTTGCAACCCTTCCACGCCCTTTCTGGCTTGGCAAGAGGCCTAGACAAGCGCAGCCACGTGACTAGGTGGAAGAAAAGCACTCACTACGAGCGCTTCTAGCCTCAGAACACGCTAGGATCCGCACATGTGCAGGAAGTGCAGCGGGCGCTCTTCATTCTCGAGGGCCGATGACCAATGATGCTCGCAACACTTCCACGCCCTTGCTGGCTTGGCAAGAGGCCTAGACAAGCGCAGTGGAAGAAAAACGCTCACTGTGAGCGCTTCTAGCCTCAAAACACGCTAGGATCTGCACATGTGGAGGAAGTGCAGCGGGCTCCTTTCAATCTCAAGGGCCGATGATCAATGATGCTCGCAACCCTTCCACGCCCTTGCTAGCTTGGCAAGAGGCCTAGACAAGTGCAGCCACGTGACTTGGTAGAAGAAAAACGCTCAGAACGAGCGCTTCTAGCCTCAAAACGCGCTAGGATTCGCACATGTGGAGGAAGTGCAGTGGGCGCTCTTCATTCTCAAGGGCCGATGATCAATGATGCTCGCAACCCTTCCACGCCCTTGGTGGCTTGGCAAGAGGCCTAGAAAGTCGGAGCCACGTGACCTGGTAGAAGAAAAACGCTCAGAACGAGCGATTCTAGCCTCAAAACTCGCTAGGATCCGCACATGTGGAGGAAGTGCAGCGGGCGCTCTTCATTCTCAAGGGCCGATGACCAATGATGCTCGCAACCCTTCCACGCCCTTGCTGACTTGGCAAGAGGCCTAGACAAGTGCAGCCACGTGACCTGGTGGAAGAAAAACGCTCATTGCGAGCGCTTCTAGCCTCAAAACGCGCTAGGATCCGCACATGTGGAGGAAGTGCAGCGAGCGCTCTTCATTCTCAAGGGCCGATGACCAATGATGCTCGCAACCCTTCCACGCCCTTGCTGGCTTGGCAAGAGGCTTAGACAAGCGCAGCCACGTAACCTGGTAGAAGAAAAACGCTCAGAACGAGCGCTTCTAGCCTCAAAACGCGCTAGGATCCACACATGTGCAGGAAGTGCAGCGAGCGCTCTTCATTCTCAAGGGTCGATGACCAATGATGCTTGCAACCCTTCCACGCCCTTTCTGGCTTGGCAAGAGGCCTAGACAAGCGCAGCCACGTGACTTGGTGGAAGAAAAACGCTCACTACGAGCGCTTCTAGCCTCAGAACACGCTAGGATCCGCACATGTGCAGGAAGTGCAGCGGGCGCTCTTCATTCTCGAGGGCCGATGACCAATGATGCTCGCAACACTTCCACGCCCTTGCTGGCTTGGCAAGAGGCCTAGACAAGCGCAGTGGAAGAAAACGCTCACTGCGAGCGCTTCTAGCCTCAAAACACGCTAGGATCTGCACATGTGGAGGAAGTGCAGCGGGCTCCTTTCAATCTCAAGGGCCAATGACCAATGATGCTCGCAACCCTTCCACGCCCTTGCTAGCTTGGCAAGAGGCCTAGACAAGTGCAGCCACGTGACTTGGTAGAAGAAAAACGCTCAGAACGAGCGCTTCTAGCCTCAAAACGCGCTAGGATTCGCACATGTGGAGGAAGTGCAGTGGGCGCTCTTCATTCTCAAGGGCCGATGATCAATGATGCTCGCAACCCTTCCACGCCCTTGGTGGCTTGGCAAGAGGCCTAGAAAGTCGGAGCCACGTGACCTGGTAGAAGAAAAACGCTCAGAACGAGCGATTCTAGCCTCAAAACTCGCTAGGATCCGCACATGTGGAGGAAGTGCAGCGGGCGCTCTTCATTCTCAAGGGCCGATGACCAATGATGCTCGCAACCCTTCCACGCCCTTGCTGACTTGGCAAGAGGCCTAGACAAGTGCAGCCACGTGACCTGGTGGAAGAAAAACGCTCATTGCGAGCGCTTCTAGCCTCAAAACGCGCTAGGATCCGCACATGTGGAGGAAGTGCAGCGAGCGCTCTTCATTCTCAAGGGCCGATGACCAATGATACTCGCAACCCTTCCACGCCCTTGCTGGCTTGGCAAGAGGCCTAGACAAGTGCAGCCACATGACCTGGTAGAAGAAAAACGCTCACTGCGAGCGCTTCTAGCCTCAAAACGCGCTAGGATCTGCACATGTGGAGGAAGTGCAGCGGGCGCTCTTCATTCTCAATGGCCGATGACCAATGATGCCCGCAACCCTTCCACGCCCTTGCTGGCTTGGCAAGAGGCCTAGACAAGCGCAGCCATGTGACCTGGTAGAAGAATAACGCTCACTGCGAGCGCTTCTAACCTCAAAACAAGCTAGGATCCGCACGTGTGGAGGAAGCAGGCGCTCTTCATTCTCAAGGGCCGATGACCTATGATGCTCGCAACCCTTCCACGCCCTTGGTGGCTTGGCAAGAGGCCTAGACAAGCGCAGCCACGGGACCTAGTACAAGATTAACACTCACTGCAAGCGCTTCTAGCCTCAAAACGCGCTAGGATCTGCACATGTGGAGGAAGTGCAGCGGGCGCTCTTCATTCTCAAGGGCCGATGACCAATAATGCTCGCAACCCTTCCACCCCCTTGCTGGCTTGGCAAGAGGCCTAGACAAGCACAGCCACGTGACCTGGTGGAAGAAAAACGCTCACTGCGAGCGCCTCTAGCCTCAAAACGCGCTAGGATCTGCACATGTGGAGGAAGTGCAGCGGGCGCTCTTCATTCTCAAGGGCCGATGACCAATGATGCTCGCAACCCTTCCACGCCCTTGCTGGCTTGGCAAGAGGCCTAGACAAGCGCAGCCACGTGACTTGGTAGAAGAAAAACGCTCAGAACAAGCGCTTCTAGCCTCAAAACGCGCTAGGATTCGCACATGTGGAGGAAGTGCAGTGGGCGCTCTTCATTCTCAAAGGCCGACGCTCAATGATGCTCGCAACCCTCCCACGCACTTGCTGGCTTGGCAAGAGGCCTAGAAATGCGGAGCCACGTGACCTGGTAGAAGAAAAACGCTCAGAACGAGCGATTCTAGCCTCAAAACGCGCTAGGATCCGCACATGTGGAGGAAGTGCAGCGGGCGCTCTTCATTCTCAAGGGCCGATGACCAATGATGCTCGCAACCCTTCCACGCCCTTGCTGGCTTGGCAAGAGGCCTAGACAAGCACAGCCACGTGACCTGGTAGAAGAAAAACGCTCACTGCGAACGCTTCTAGCCTCAAAACACGCTAGGATCCGCACATGTGGAGGAAGTGCAGCGGGCACTCTTCATTCTTAAGGGCCGATGACCAATGATGCTCGCAATGTTAAACTGTGTTATGTTGGTAGGCTGTAGTGGGGTAGCCAGTATGGGGTACAACCCCAACTAGGGTTTGCTACTTGTACCCAATTCTTTCCTTCAATGACACATTCTTGCCTAGTCCTGTTGATATGGTATTCAGAGCAGGAGGTCCCTAGGACCTATCGACCGTTTCTTTTAAGGGCCCACCACCGCTCGCATGCGGTTACCACGCTACCCCGTACCCTAGCCTCGTAGCGCCCTCGTGCGTCCTCGTTAGCGCCCTCGCGCACCCTCGTTAGCGCCCTCGCGCGCCCTCGTTAGCGCCCTCGCGCGCCCCTCGTTAGCGCCCTCGCGCGCCCTCGCTAGCGCCCTCGAAGCGCCCCTCGTTAGCGCCCTCGCGCGCCCCTCGCAGCGTCGCCCGCCCGCCGAGCCGCCCGCTCGCCGCCCGCCCGCCGCGCTGCCTGCTCGCAGCGTCGCCCGCTCGCCCCGCTGCCCGCTTCGCAGCCCGCTCGCCCCGCTGCCCGCTTCGCAGCCCGCCCGCCCGCTCGCTGCCCGCTTCGCGGCCCGCCCGCTTCGCTGCCCGCTCGCAGCGTCGCCCGCCCGCCCGCTGCCCGCTTCGCAGCGTCGCCCGCCCGCTTGCTGCCCGCTCGCAGCGTCGCCCGCCCGCCCGCTGCCCGCTTCGCAGCGTCGCCCGCTCGCTCGCTGCCCGCTCGCAGCGTCGCCCGCCCGCCCGCTGCCCGCTCGCAGCGTCGCCCTCCCGCCTCGCTGCCCGCTTGCAGCGTCGCCCGCCCGCCCGCTGCCCGCTTGCAGCGTCGCCCGCCCGCCCGCTGCCCGCTTCGCAGCCGCCCGCCGCGCTGCCCGCTCGCCGCGTCGCCCGCCCGCCCCGCTGCCCGCTTCGCAGCCCGCCCGCCGCACTTCCCGCCTGCAGCGCCGCCCGCCTCGCCTGCTGCTCCCTGCCTGTGCACCGCCGCTTGCTCCTGCTGTGGCTGCTAGCTTCGCTCTAGCGCGTCCCCTCTGCTGCTGCCGCTGCTCTGCTGTGCCCTCACGCCTGAGCTATGGCCTCTATTCGCGTTCTTTCCTTCGATGCTGAGGGCCGTCCCGTGCAGTTCACTTCCTGGCTCGACGACCTGCAGTTGTATCTTATGAGCAATAGCACGGACCACATCTCCCTCTATGACTACGCGTCTGGTGCTGCCGCTGCTCCTGCTGCCACAGCCGAGCTTAGTGTACGTTCACAGTGGCAGACTCGTGACGCTGCAGCTCGCCTGGCTATTCGCAGTCACCTGCCGTTAGCTGAGCTAGAGCACTTTGGCGACTGCAAAACCGCTAAAGCCCTATACGACGCTGTCGTTGCTCGCTACTCCTCACCTGCCACAGCCGAGCTTAGCCGTCTCATGCTGCCTTACCTGTTCCCTGACCTGTCCACCTTTGCTACAGTCGCCGATCTTATCACCCACCTTCGCACTAGTGATGCTCGCCTGCGTGCCGCCCTTCCCACCGAGTTCTGCGCTAAGAACCCCCCTCCCCTGTACTGGGCACTCCACTTCATAGTCACCCGTCTCCCTGACACCCTCAGCTCAGTGCGCGACTATTTCCTTGCTCGCTGTCCCACTGAGCTCACTGTCGCCCTCCTAGAGGAGAAGCTGCTAGCAGCCGAGAAGAGCATTGTAGCTGTAGGTGCTGCTCGCGGCGCTCCTCGCACCCCCATCTTTGAGGGGTGCTCTCCCTCTCCCCTCGCTCCCTCCTATGCTACTGCTGCTGCTGTTGACTTCCTTGGTGCTGAGTCTGCTGGCGCTGCTTCTGCTCCTGGTGGGAGGCGCCGCACCGGCAAGGGCAAGGGGGGCAAGGGTGGCGGGGGTGGCGCTGGGGGGGGAGGGGGTGGGGGAGGTGGGGGGGGAGGCGGTGCTGGAGGGAGCGGTGGCGGGAGTGCCGGTGGGAGTGGGGCCGGCGGCGGAGGCGGGGGCGGCGGCGGGAGCAGTGGCGGTGGTGGCAGCGGCGGCAGTGGCGGCGGTGGCGGTAGTGGCGGTGGCGGTGGCGGTGGTGGCGGTCGGAGCGGAGGTAGTGGCGGCGGTGGAGGTCGGAGTGGAGGCACCGGCTCGGGCCAGAGCTCCCAGCAGCAGCAGCGTCCCCAGTCGACCCAGCAGCTTCGTGAGTGGCTTGCTCAGCGTGGGACGTCGGGGGGCAGTGGCCGCTGTTCCTATGTCATTCGCACAGGTGATCGCAAGGGGCAGACGTGTGGAAAGTTCCACACTCAGTACCGCTGCTTCTTCCGCCTTGACGACGCTTGGCGTGAGGAGATGGGCGAGGATGTTGAGCGCCCTCGCTGGGCTGAGCTGATGAGGGCTGGTGTTGATATCTTTGCTCTTGACTATGATGCTATTATTGCTGCCATGTATGCATTGACTGTTAGTGCCGAGGGAGACTGTTACTTGTGTGTGCCGCCTGACCCAGGTATAGGGCCCGCTGCCCTAGGTACTAGTGAGTCTGCTCTCTCTGGTATGGTGCCCCCTGTACCTGCTCCCTCCAGCACTGTCCCTGCTGCTTGCGAGTCTGCTCTCTCAGGTACAGCACCCACAGAGACTGCTCTCTCAGGTACTGCACCGGCTGAGACCTGTCACACCTTCACCCTTGACTCAGGTGCTTCCCGCTGCTTCTTTCGAGACAGTACTGAGCTCACACCGCTTCCTGCACCGGTCCCAGTCTCCTTGGCTGACCCCTCTGGGGGCCCAGTCCTTGCCCAGTCCACCACTGTGCTCCCTTGTCCGGCGGTTCCGTCTGGCTCGTTGACGGGTTTCCACCTCCCCTCGTTCTCGACGAACCTGGTGAGCAACGCTGTCATCCAGGATCAGTGGGTTGACACCTTTACCCCTGGAGGACAGCGTGTGGCGATCTGCACGTGCTCCAGGACCGGCCGTCACCTGGCTACGTTTACTCGTCGGCCGGGGTCGAGTCTCTACACACTGACCACTGCGTCTCCTCAGGTCGCTGCTGTCGGTCAGGTGTCTGAGTCAGGTCTGGTGGCCCACGCCTGTGAGTGTCGTTCCCTGTCGCACCAGACTCTTCTCTGGCACCACCGCCTGGGTCACCCCTCCTTGCCACGCCTCCGTGGCATGCACCGTCGCCGCCTTGTGTCTGGTCTTCCCAGGTCCCTCCCTCCTCTCCCTTCCTCGCCTGCGCCGCCTTGCCTTCCTTGCGTCGAGGGGCGGCAGCGCGCCGCTCCTCACTCCTCCTCGTTCCCCCCGACAGGGGCTCCTCTGCAGACCCTCCACCTGGACGTGTGGGGCCCAGCCCGCGTTCGTGGCCAGGGCGGTGAGCGGTACTTTTTGCTGGTTGTCGACGACTACTCGCGTTACACCACGGTCTTCCCCTTGCACACCAAGGGTGAGGTCCCTGCTGTTCTGATCCCTTGGATCCGCACAGTTCGTCTCCAGCTCCGCCGCCGTTTCCGGACGGATCTTCCTGTCCTGCGTCTGCACTCTGACAGAGGTGGTGAGTTTTCCTCCGACCTCTTGAGGACCTTCTGTCAGGCGGAGGGCATCGAGCAGACCTTCACGCTTCCGGACTCCCCACAGCAGAATGGGGTTGCTGAGCGCCGCATTGGCCTGGTCATGGAGGTCGCTCGTACCTCCTTGGTCCATGCGGCGGCTCCCCATTTTCTGTGGCCGTTTGCTGTCCGGTACGCCGCGCATCAGCTCAACCTCTGGCCCCGTGTCTCCTTGCCGGAGACCTCGCCCACACTGCGTTGGACGGGGGAGGTTGGCGATGCGTCGCGCTTCCGGGTGTGGGGTGCTCGTGCCCTTGTCCGCGATACGTCCGCGGACAAGCTCTCCTCCCGCACGCTTCCCTGTGTCTTCCTTGGCTTTGTCCCTGACGCGCCGGGCTGGCAGTTTTACCACCCCACCTCGCGCCGGGTCTTCGCCTCTCAGGACGTCACCTTTGACGAGTCGGTCCCTTTTTACCATCTCTTCCCCTACCGTACTGCCCCCCTCCCTCCCCCGCCGCTTTTCCTTGCTCCTGGTCCCCCTCCGGTAGACCCCCTTCCCCCTCAGGGTCCTGCTCCTTCAGGTGTCTCTCAGGTAGACCCTCCTCCCGTCGCTGAGCCTGTCGAGGTCACAGGTGACTCAGGTGCTGCTGCAGGTGGTGCTGCTGGGAGTGCTGAGCCTGCGGGTGCTGGGCCTGGGGGTGCTGGGACTACGGGTGCTGGAGCTGAGGGTACTGTGCCTGAGAGTTCGGCGCCTGGGGGTGCTGAGCCTGGGGGTGCTGCGACTGGGGGTGCTGAGCCGGCGTGTGCGGAGTCTGGGGGTGCTGAGTCTGGGGGTGCTGCGCCTGCGGGTACTGAGCCTGGGGGTGCTGCTACTGAGCCTACGGAGCCTCGGGTTGCTGCGTCTGGGGGTGCTCCGGTTCGGGGTGCTGAGCAGTCTCTCACACCACAGCAGCTTCGTGACTGGTACGTCCGGCGCTTTCGCCGTCCTAGTGGCTCGGCTGGAGCTGGGGGTACTGGAGCTGCCGGGACTGGTTGTTCTGGGAGCACTACGACTGGAGCTGCTGGAGCTGGGGACTCTGGAGCTGGCGGCGCTAGCGGAGTTGTAGCTGCCGACTCTGGGGGTGCTCTTCCTTGCGGTGCTGCGGACCCTGGGGGTGGTGCTGCTGCTGGTGCTGCGGACCCACCTGGTGGAGCTGCTGCTGGAGCTGAGGACCCGAGCGGTGGCGCTGCTGCTGGTGCTGGGGACCCGGACGCTGGAGTCTCTTCTGCTTCTGGAGACGCTGCGCGGCCGCGGCCGTACTTCGTACCGCTCCTTCAGCAGGTTCTTGGGCAGGCTCCTCCTCCTTGTCCTCCTCCCTCCGTAGAGTGTCCTCCGACTGTCCAGCCGCAGTCACAGTTACCGCCTGCCTCGCCTCTCCCTGCTCCCTCTCCTTACGCTGGTCCCACAGGAGGTCTTACAGAGCGTCGTGAGCCTGAGTCTCGTCCTGCGTCGCCTGTCCGTACTGCTCGCACTGGTAGTCATGTCCGTCGTGAGCGTCCTCCTCCTGTCCCAGGCACTCACTACATGACTCTGCGTCCCTCTACTGCTCCTCAGCGTGTCCCTCTGCCGTCTCCTCCTGCGTCCTCTTTGCCTGCTGTTCCGGACCCTGAGTCTGACCGGTATCGTGCTGAGCACCCTACTGTCACGCGTCTCCTAGCTACTGTTGTCGCTGACCCTACCTTTGAGTCCTCGGCTGCGTCTGCTCTGGTCGCTGAGTTGGTTGACTTTGCTGCTGCATGTCGTCTAGACTACGCTGCTCGCCTTGTTGCTGGGTCTGAGTCTGCGTCTGTCTGTCCTCCGTCCGTCGGGGGTGAGTGTGCTCTTGGCACGGACGTCCTTGAGGACAGGCAGGAGGACTTTGACTCTCTCGCGGCTGCTGTACCTCATCTCGTGGCCTGGTTGCTTGCCCCTGAGGGAGACCCGGATGCACTAGACATCCCCACTCCGCGCTCTTACGCAGAGGCGATCTCGGGTCCCTACTCCTCTCAGTGGCAGACAGCCATGGACGCAGAGATGGCATCCTGGAAGTCCACAGGCACCTACGTCGACGAGGTTCCCCCTCCTGGGGCGAACATCGTCGATGGCATGTGGATTTTCAGGGTGAAGCGGCCGCCAGGTTCTCCGCCTGTCTTCAAGGCTCGTTACGTTGCTAGAGGCTTCAGTCAGCGTCAGGGGGTCGACTTCTTCCAGACCTTCTCCCCCACCCCGAAGATGACCACTCTTCGGGTTCTGCTGCACGTTGCTGCTCAGCGTGACTACGAGCTTCACTCTCTTGACTTCAGCACAGCGTTCCTGCAGGGCAGCCTGCACGAGGAGATCTGGCTGCGCCGCCCACCTGGCTTTACTGGGTCGTTTCCTCCTGGTACCCAGTGGAGCCTCCGCCGGCCAGTCTACGGTCTCCGCCAGGCGCCACGCGAGTGGCACGACACACTGAGGACTACACTTGCGGCTCTTGGGTTCGCGCCGTCTACTGCTGACCCGTCGCTGTTTCTGCGCACAGACACGTCGCTGCCGCCGTTCTACATTCTCGTGTACGTCGACGACTTGGTCTTTGCTACTGCTGACACTGAGGCACTCGCTCGTGTGAAGTCGGAGCTGCAGAAGAGACACACCTGCACTGACCTGGGTGAGCTGCGTAGCTACCTTGGCTTGCAGATCACCCGGGACAGAGCTCGCCGCACCATCACCCTGACTCAGTCACACATGGTGCAGCAGGTCCTTCAGCGCTTCGGTTTCCAGTTCTCCTCACCACAGGCCACACCTCTGGCTACCAGCCACTCGCTCTCAGCTCCACCTCCGGACGAGTCCGTAGAGCCGAGTGGCCCGTACCCAGAGCTTGTGGGCTGCCTCATGTACCTGATGACTTGCACGCGACCTGACCTCGCGTACCCTCTTAGCATCCTTGCTCGTTACGTTGCGCCTGGGAGACACTGGCGAGAGCACTGGGAGGCTGCTAAGAGGGTGCTGCGCTACTTGTGCAGTACATCAGGCATGGGGCTGGTGCTTGGAGGACGCGACAGAGTTGTCCTCACTGGCCACTCGGACGCTTCTTGGGTGGACGACCTGGCTACGCAGCGGTCGTCACAGGGTTACACCTTCAGCCTTGGCTCTGGTTCTGTCTCGTGGCGGTCCACCCGCTCTTCTTCTGTTCTCGGCTCTAGTTGTGAGGCTGAGATCTACGCCACAGCCATGGCTGCCCAGGAGTTACGCTGGCTCACCTACCTGCTGACTGACTTGGGAGAGCGGCCTAGTTCTCCTCCAGTTCTGTACGGTGACAACAAGGCGGCCCTTGCCTTGTGTCAGGAGCACAGACTGGAGCACAGGACGAAGCACATTGCTCTTCGCTACTTTCTTGCTCGAGAGCTGCAGCAGCGAGGTCAGCTTCGGCTTGTGTACGTGGACTCGAAGGCCAACACTGCTGATATATTCACCAAGGCGCTCCCGCCTAGTGATCATCAGCGGCACTGTACTTCCTTAGGCCTTGTGTCCACATTCCCTCATTTGCTTACTGCTTGACTTTCTTTGTACTGTCCTTTATATATATCTCGTTGCTTGCTTGCTAGGTCTTGATCACTGTGTTGCTTGTCTTGTACTATATCTAGCTCTGCATGTGAACTGGCCTTGTGGCCTTTGCTTGTGCTCGGAGTGTGGTGACGTTGTGATCCACCCTGGGCTTGCTTTGCTTTGCTAGACTGGTCTTGTGACCCTTTGTTCTCCCCCACTTTGCCTATGGGGGTGTGTTAAACTGTGTTATGTTGGTAGGCTGTAGTGGGGTAGCCAGTATGGGGTACAACCCCAACTAGGGTTTGCTACTTGTACCCAATTCTTTCCTTCAATGACACATTCTTGCTTAGTCCTGTTGATACGCAACCCTTCCACGCCCTTGCTGGCTTGGCAAGAGGCCTAGACAAGCGCAGCCACGTGACTTGGTGG